ACTGGTTATATGCCAGCACTGTTTTACAGATATTTTTTGTCATAAAACCCTTATGAAGTCATATTTTTATGCTCATTTCAGAAATAAGAAAACGAAGGCTCAGAGATCATGTCTGCTCACCCACGGTTACTCTGAAAGTGAGTCAGGATCAGAAACTATAGCCAGCTGGTTTCATAGTCCATAAACCATGCTTTGCTCCCTAGTATGCTTCTAAGTACCATCTAGTTTGGGACATATAGGAGTCACTCGAGACTCTGAGTCTGGAGCTTGGGAGATACTGATGAGGTACAGGCATCAGTTTGGAAGTCCTTATAAAGGAGATCATTCTTGAATTATGGGAGCAGATGAGATCACCTGGGGAGAGCATGTGGGGAAAAAAGAGACAGACAGACCCTGGGGACTTCACATGTAAGGCTTATATCAGTAAGGTTTATGTTAAACAATTATACATGTAACAGAAAAGGCAGCTTATGCCTGTAACCCCAGCACTTTGGGAGGCTGAGGCAGGAGGATCATTTGAGCCCAGAAGTTCGAGACCAGCCTGAGCTACATGATGAATCTCATCTCTATACAAAGTCAAAAAATTAGCCAGGTGTGGTAGCACATGCCTGTGGTCCCAGCTACTTGGGAGGCTGAGATTGGAGAATCACTTGAGCCTAGTCGGGTGAGGCTACAAGTGAGCTGTGGCTGTGCCGCTGCACTCTAGCCTGGGCGACAGAGTGAGATCCTGTCTCTAAATAAATAAATAAATAAATAAATAACAGAAAAGGCAATGAATAAGATTAGGATTGGTTTCTTCTCATCACAAAGTTCAGCGGTGAGGCTTTCAGGGTCAGACTCTTGGCTTCATTAGACACTCAGCCTCTCTTTTTCTTCTACCATACTTAGTGTGTGTGGTCCATCCTCAAATTTGCTTTAGTTTCACAAAATGGTTACTATAGGTCCCACCATCCTATTTCAGGCAGCAGGAAAGAGGAAGAGGCCAAAGGAAAAAGGTGTCTGCCAGCCAAGTCTTTAAGGAAGTCTTTCCAGGAGACTCACTACATAACTTCTGCTTACATTGGCCAGAACTTAGAATTATTTTCAAGGGAGGCTGGAAATGCAGTTCTTAGCTAGGCCCCTTACTGCACCAACAAAATCAGGTTCCCTTGGTAAGGAATGAAAGGAATGGAAACTGGGTAGACCATTGTAATATCTGCCATAAGGGGGTGGGCAGAGGAAATAAAAAGAATGTGGAGAGAGAAAAAGGAGTGAGAATGATGCCATACAACATGTAATCATTAGGATGCTTTTAGTTACAAGTTATTGAAAACTGAGCCCAAACTACCTTAAACTTTGATCAAGTAGCCAAAAAAATTTATAAGTAGGGCAGATGTGTTTGTTGGGGCTCTGGCTTTGCAACTTTGCTATTTTCTTGGATATGCCCCTCTGTGTTGGCCTTGTATCCAGGCTGACCTCACAAACTATTATGGAGTGGCTGAAGCAGTTCCAGGACTCACACCATGATGCATACCACATTGCCCACAGCAAGACACACCATCTTCCTAGAAGAAGTCCTGAAATTCATTTATTCATTCCAAAATATTTCTGAGTACCTACTGTGTGCCAGTTCTTTTCCTAGGTGCCAGAGATAATGACAAACAGAGATCCTTTAGCCATCTATTGTTGCATTATCCTGAAACTCAGAGCTTAAAACAACAATTATTTATTATTTTACAGCTTCTGTGAGTCAGGAAACTGGGCAGGGCTTATTGGGTGCCTCTGGCTTCGGATGTCTCATAAGGCTGCAATCAAAATGTCGGCTGGGGCCAGGCGTGGTGGCTCACGTCTGTAATACCAGCACTTTGAGAGGCTGAGATGGATGGATCACTTGAGGTCAGGAGTTTGAGACCAGCCTGGCCAACATGGTGAAACCCTGTCTCTACTAAAAATATAAAAATCGGCTTGGAATGGTGGCATGTGCCTGTAGTCCCAGCTACTTGGGAGGCTGAGGCAGGAGAATTGCTTGAACCTGGGTGGCAGAGGTTGCAGTGAGCCAAGACTGCATCATTGTACTCCAGCCTGGGCAAAAGAGTAAAACTCTGTCTCAAAAAAAAAAAAAAAAAAAAAACCTTAAAAAAAAAAAAAAAAAAAAAAAAAAAAAAAGATGTCAGCTGGGGCAATAGTCATCTTAAGGCCACCCAGGGAAGGATTGAGAATCACTTGAGCCCAGCTCAACCCCAGCTCACTCACATGGTAGCTGGCAGGCCCCAGGTACTTGCTGGCTACTGGCCAGAGTTGTCGGCTCATTGCAATATGGACATCTCTATTGGGCTGGGAGTTGGGGGTGGGAAGGAACAGACAGAAATCAGTCTTTTTATAAAACATTCTCAGAAATGACATCCCATTACTTTTGCCATATTTATTTTGAATTACTTCCAATAAGTCCAGGCCATGCTGAAGGGGAGGGGATTACATAAGGGCATGAATACCAGGAAGTTCAGATCATGGGGAACCACTTTGAGGCTGCTTACCACAATATTCTAGTCAGTGGAGACAGGCAATAAACAAACATATATCATATGTTGGGTGATAAGTCCTAGGAAGAAAATCAACACAGAGTAAGTAACGGCCTTTATTATGAAATGTCATTTGAGTAAAACCTGGCACACAGGGGACAGCAAGCCATGTGGGCATCTGCAGAACAGCATTCCAGCCAGAGGGAAGAGCAGGTGCAAGCTTCCTGAGGCAGGAGCATGCTTGGTGTCTTTCAGGAATCACACAACCAAGGTGGCTGGAGCTGAGTGAGCAAGGGAGGAGACCAAGTCAGAGAGGTGGGTTGGGATCACTTAGAGAAGATGGTAGAGACTTTCCTGGAGGGTTCTGCACAGGGGTGTGATGTTGTGATCTGCTTTGCTTTTAAAAATCTATGGACGGTACAAAGGCCAAGAGTAGAAGCAGATAAACCAGTTGGGATTCTACTGCAGTGGCCCAGGGGAGAGATAGGGAAATCTTGGATTGAGTCATATTGATGCAAGTGGGGAGAAGTGACTGGGTTCTAGATATATTTGATAAGATTTGCTGATAGACTGACTTAGGGTGGGACAGAGGGAGGGGTCAAAGATGACTCCAAGCCTTTCAGAATGAGAATCTCTAAGATCAGGATGCCCTTTGCTCAGGTGGGGAGGACGAGCCTGAGACAGTAAATAAAGATTTTGACTTTAGTTTTATGACCATGTTAAGTCTGGGACACCTGTTAGATAGCCAAGTGGAGATGTTGTGGAAGAAGATGGAGTCTTTAGTTCAGAGGAGAGATGGAGGCTGGCAATAGAAACTGGAGAGGCATCAGCATCAAGTTGCCATTTAAAGACAGAGGACTAGATGAGATGAATCACCTAGGGAATAAGTATTAATGGGGGATGAGCCCTGGAGCATTTGGAACCTTTGGATATAAGAGGATGAGGAGGATCTGGCAAAGGGAACTGAGAAAGAAAAACCAATGACAAAGGAGAGATGATTCTGGGGAGAAAACCAGTACGGTTTACCTAGGAGAGCAAGATGAGAGGTGCTCTTGCCTTTCAGATGCCTCCAAAGGTCAAGTGGTGCCACTGGACTTGAAAAGTAGCAGAAGGTCATGGATTACTTTAGAGAGAGCAGCTTACAAAGTCATAGGTTCAGCAGCTGGACAATACTAGACTTGGAAGGGAAATTAGCTGGGCATTGTGGTGCATGTCTGTAACACCAGCTACTTGAGAGGCTGAGGCAGGAAGATCACTTGAGCCTGGGAATTCAAGGCTGCAGTGAGCTATAATCATGCCACTGCACTCCAGCCTGGGTGACAGAGCAAGATCCTGTCTCTAAAAAAAATAAAATAAAATAATCACAAGGGAAAACACTGTTAAGAAAAATTAGAAAATATCGATATCAATAACCAAACATTATAATTAAAACCCAGAACACAGAAAGAGGTAAATTGTTTTCAGTAAATATAATGAGGCTTAGGGTCTTTACAATGGGAAAAAAAAAACCATGCAAATTGATAAGAAAAGTACTAAGACTCTACCAGGAAATCGACAAAGGACATGAACAGACAGGAGGAAATACAACTAGTAAACAAAGATAAAGAAAACTGTTTGGCACCATTAGCAAGGAAAGAAATACAGATTAAAACCATAAGATGACGTGTTTTCAACTATAAAATGAGCAAAGAGCTATTAATATTATTTAACTCAGAAATTCCAGGTCAGGGAATCCTAAGAAACTAAGCCAAAATGCAAATGAAAAAGCTAGTCACAATTCTATTTATAATAGTTAATAACAGAAAAAATAGCAAGGCATGGTGGCTCTCAACTGTAATCACAGTGGCTCAGCAGGCTGAGGCAGGAGGATCTTTTGAATCCAGAAGTTTGAGATTATAGTGAGCTATGATCTTGCCTTGCATTTCAGCCTGGGTGACATGTTCCCATCTTGAAAAAATTGAAAAATAACATAAAATAATCAAAATGCTGAACACCAGCAGAATGGCTTAGAAAAGTATGGCACATTCATACAATGGAATATTAAGCAACACATACACATATAAAAAATGCTTGGGAAGAATTTATGGTAACATAGGAAAATGCCTATATTAATTTTTTTAAAAAGCAGGATTATAAATTGTATATACCATATCTTCTCACCTATGGGAAAATATTTCTTCTTCTTCTTTTTTTAAACGGAAGCTCGCTCTATCACAAGGCTGGAGTGCACTGCCATGATCTTGGTTCACTGCAACCTCCGACTCCCTGGTTCAAGCTATTCTCCTGCCTCACCCTCCGCGTAGCTGGGATTACAGGCACCCACCACTGCACCCAGCTAATTTTTGTATTTTTAGTAGAGACGGGGTTTCACCCTATTTGCCAGGATGATCTCCATCTCTTGACCTCGTGATCTACTCACCTCCGCCTCCCAAAGTGCTGGGATTACAGGCGTGAGCCACCGTGCCTGGCCAGGAAAATGTTTCTAGGAAAAGGGAAACTCACCAAAATGTTCCCTCAGCATGACACAGGAAGACTGGCTACCAATCTTTCTCGCAGCACACCTTTGTCTCAAACTCCTGGCCTCAAGCCATCCTCCCATCATGGTCTCTCAAAGTGCTAGGGTTACAGACATGAGTCAGCACAACTTTGCTGAATTCTGTGCTAGCTTCTCTGTGCCAAGTCCTGGAAGCACAAAGATAATTCAGAAAGTCCTTCCCTTGAGGAGCTTGCATCTATGATCTGAAAACTATTCTGTGGGAGTAAACAATCAAGTCTCAAAAGCTATAAGCATAATTGGAATCCAAGAATAACACAGCAAAAACGAACACAGATGCAAGGTAAATGACCGCACAGCTGAGCCTTCAGTGATGCTGCCCACAGGCAATAAGGAATTTTGGAGTGAACTTAGCTGAGTTCTTAGAGACCCTAGTGCTACAGTAAAGATGGCCTTGACTCTAAAGGAATCAAAGTCCAGGTGAAGCTAATAGAATTGGTAGAATGAAGCTGATACTCCCAAACAATATTTGTTGCTTGACTTCCTGCTATAAGTGGTTTGGTGTAAGAGTGCCTCTCTGACCAGCCTCTGCTCAGCCTCTGCTCAGACCCACCAGAGTGACTCCGGATAGATCATTGGGCTTCTTCCATCTTAGGTTACTTCTTGAGCCCCATTCTTTGGCAAAGACTAGCTTGGAGATTCCTGCTGCACTGTCAGGATTGGGCCAGTGGGATTGCCTCTATTATCAGGTAGAGATGACAGAATGACACCTTGTATTTCTAGACTCTTTTATGTATATTTCACATATTTTATAAATTCTGTGCCAGGCGTGGTGGCTCACACCTTACTCCCAGCACTTTGGGAAGCTGAGGCGGTTGGCTCACCTGAGGTCAGGAGTTCGAGACCAGCCTGGCCAACGTGGTGAAACTCTGTCTCTCCTAAAAATGGAAAAATTAGCAGGGTGTCACGGCGGGCACCTGTAATCCCAGCTACTTGGGAGGCTGAGGCAGGTCAGTCACATGAACCCAGGAGGCAGAGGTTGCAGTGAGCTGAGATTGTGCCATTGCACTCTAGCCTGAGCAGGCAACAAGAGTGAAAAAAAACCCTTCATCTCAAAAAAAAAAAAAAAATTCTGACTCGCCTGCACATTGAAGAATGATGTAGTTGGTAGCTGGAAATCAACCAGCTGTATTTTAAATTTTTCTGGCAGTGCTGCCTCCATCTTGCTTGCTTAACCTATCAAACTGTAGTTATCTGACAAACACTAAATCAGAAAAACAAGGATTCTGATAGTGTCAGAGAGAAAGCTCTCTTAGAAAGCTACTTTCAGAAAAGTCTAAGCAGGCTATTCTTTAAGTGTTTTAGTCAATGGTATAGCAAGGCAGATTTAGAGAGCAAAGAATAGATACAATGTGATTTTTTTCTTTTTCGTTTTTTGAGATGGAGTCTCGTCCATCTTGCAGGCTGGAGTAGAGTGGCTTGATCTTGGCTCACTGCAACCTCTGCCTCCTGGGTTCAAGCAATTCTCCTGCCTCAGCCTGCCAAGTAGCTGGGATTACAGGCATGCACCAGCACGCATGGCTAATTTTTGTATTTTTAGTAGAGACAGGGGTTTCGCACGTTAGCCAGGCTAGTCTCAAACTCCTCACCTCAGGTGATCCACCCACCTCGGTCTCCCAAAGTGCTGAGATTACAGGCATGAGCCACCATGCCTGGCCACGATGTGATCTTTAAAGTATATCAAAGAAGTCACCCTAAAGGAAAATGAGTTTTTGATCATAAAATTAAGTATAATTAAAAAAATCAGTTCTCCTATAATCCCAGCACTTTTGGAGGACAAGGTGGAAGAACTGTGTGAGCTCAGGAGTTTAGGACCAGCCCGGGCAACGTAGCAAGACACTCTCTACTAAAACTTAAAAAAAAAAAAAGAAAGAAAGAAAAAGAGGATCATTTGGGCATAGTGGTGCATGTCTGTAGTGCCAGCTACTCGGGAGACTGAGGTGGGAAGATTGCTTAAGCACAGCAGTCGAGGCTGAAGTGAGCCATGGTTATGCCGCTGCATGCAGCCTGGCCGACAGAGCAAGATGTTGTCTCATAAATAAATAAATAAGTTCTTAGTTAGGTATGGTGCCTCACACATGTAATCTCAGCACTTTGGGAGGCCAAGGTGGGAGGACTGCTTGAGCCCAGCAGTTTGAGGCTGCGGTGAGCTATGATAGCTTCACTGTACTCCAGCCTGGGTGACAGAAAAAGACTCTGTCACTAACTAACTAACTAAGTAAATAAATACTCATTTCTTAAGAGAAATCCTCAATAATTACCATGGGATTAGGACTGAAATGTCTGAAGGCAAACCGTCTGGGTTCAAATCCTGGCTTTGCCACTTCCTAACTGCGTGACTTTAAGCAAGTTACTTAATTTCTCTGTGTCTCAATATTTTTCCTCATCTGTAAAATGCAGATGTTAGGACCTTCTTTATAAGGTTGGTATGAGAACTAAACGAGGTAGCCCTGAACAGTTCCTGGACTGTAACACCTGCTATATATATGCTTGTTAAATAAAATAAAACTAAAGACTTTTTTTCTTGCTATCACTTGTTAATAAAACAGTCATGACTAGTAAAACAAATATGTGAAATGTTAATAATTCTGTGACAATATAGTGAAGTATTCACTTATGTTTCTTACTTTTTTTGAGACAGAGCCTCACTCACTCTGTTGCCCTGGCTGGAGTGCAGTGGTGTGATCGTGGCACGCTGCAATCTCCACCTATCGGGTTCAAGCAATTCTCCTGACTTAGCCTCCTGAGTAGCTAGGATTACAGATACCCGCCACCACATCTGACTAATTTTTCCATTTTTACTAGAGACAGGTTTCATCTTGTTGGCCAGGGTGGTCTTGAACTCCTGACCTCAAGTGATCCTCCTGCCTTGGCCTCCTAAAGTGCTGGGATTACAGGTATCAGCTACCACGCCTGGCCTGTTTCTTCTTTCTAGATTGCCCATCCTTCCTCTTTTCAAGCAGGTGGCTGTGCCTTCTTCTGCATGTGGCCTGAGGGATGCTTGTGAGGCAGGAAGCCCATGGGAGCAGAAGGTGCTGAAGCCAGTGGCTCCTCTTGTCTTTTTTTAATTTAATTTTATTTTATTTTTTATAGAGATGGGGTTTCACCATGTTGGCCAGGCTGGTCTTGAATTGCTGACCTCAGGTAATCCACCTGCCTCGGCCTCCCAAAGTGCTGGAATTACAAGCGTGAGCCACCACGCCCGGCCTCCTCTTGTCTTTTATGAAAGCCTGAGCCTGTTGAACTGATAGGGAATGCTGGGTGTCTCAGGATAGGTGGTGGTGAGTAAGGCTTGTGGGTGCATGAAGAGGGGATAGAGAAGGAAAGCTTCTCTGAGAGGGCAGGGAGTACTAGTCCTAAGACGCTAGGAGCTGGGGGACCTGGGCAGAGCCCAGAGTGTTTGGCACGGCCTCATGGGGAGGGCCATGCAGTGTGCTGAGGCAAGAAGCACCATCTTGCAATGCCTCATGTAGCCCAGAAGGCACATGCTCTGGACTCCAGGGACCCTGGGGGTCTTAGACAACGAAAATGTCAGCCTTGACCATGAGAGATCAGAGGTCAGAGCACCACTAACCAATAGATATATGAGCCATATTTGTATTTACTAGCTACTAGAATCTAGTAGCCATGTTAGAAAATGGTCAAAAGGCTGGGCGTGGTGGCTCATGCCCGTAATCCCAGCACTTTGGAAGGCTAAGGCGGGTGGATCAGCTGAGGTCAGGAGTTCGAGACCAGCCTGACCAACATGATGAAACCCTGTCTCTACTAAAAATACAAAATTAGCTGGGTGTGGTGGCACACACCTATAATCCCAGCTACTCGAGAGGCTGAGGCAGGAGAATAGCTTGCAGTGAGCCAAGACTGCGCCACTGCACTCCAGCCTGGGGAACAAGAGTGAAACTCCATATTAAAAAACAAAAAAACAAAAAATGGTCAAAGGACACAAGAAAAATTCATTTTAATAACATTTTATTTCTATCTAAAATATTAAGAGTTCAACATATAACCAATATAAAGACATTACTATAATATTGTACTTTTCTAAATACTAAGTGTATGAAATCTAGTGTGTATTTTATACTCACAGCACATCCCAGTTCAGATTGGCCACATTTCCTAGGCTCAGTAGCCCTGTGCAGTCAGTGACTACCACACCGCACAGCCCAGGGTTAGCGGCTCTTCTTTTGTTTACCTGGTTCCGCATAAACTTCCTGGATTCTAAACTGACACTGACAGGAAAGGGGACCTCAACTTGTTCACACAACAAATACTTTTGAATGCTACCACATGCTACGGTTCCCAAAACGTATGTGGAGGCACCCTAGAACACTGCAGTGAGCTCACAGGGGCTTCGAGGGAAATTTTACATTTTCAAGGGAAACATCTGTGAGACATCACATGAACTGCTGGCTCAAAGTGGCTCCCAGTTTCAACATGAGATTGCACTGTTATACTTCTCTTTAGATGCCATACAGTTTTGCAAAGGTGGGCTTTCAGCGCTGCTATGATAAAAAACAAAAACAGAACACAAGTATTGTAGAAAAATTAGTTTGGAACAGGAAGTGAGATGGTAATATCCAAAAAATTCCAATGTTTGAGAAGTTTGCAGTGCCCAGCAGTTTCACGTCTGATTGGTAAGTAAGGGTAGTCAAGAATAAGAAAATTTTTTTCAATGTGTGTGCATTATTTTTAAGATAGCTATTAAGTTGTTAGGAGGTAAGTATTTATTAAGTTGCTCAGACCTAACTATTTAATAAAACAGAACTATTAGGCATTTCTTTTGGCCCAGGAACACTGAAAAATCCCCTGAGACACCAAGAGTGCTGAGAATGTTTGGGAATTGCCCTACAGGTTGCTTATCTAAGCATGTGGAACACATCAGAAAATAAAACAAAGATCCTGCCTTTGTGGATGGGATTTGGTGGGGAGACAGACAATAATCAACAAGGATGACAGGTAATGTTTGAGTCAAGATTTCAGCCCAGTGGGGTGGGGTTTGGGAATTGAAATTAGGTTGTTTTTAAAGGAAATACAGAAAGTGGTTATTTCTTATATACC